TGTAGTACTAAGTTCTCCTTGGATCGCCTTGTGGCTCACGTACTAATTGGTTATGCTTGGTGCAACTTGTAACGATGCTCGAAGGACCAGTGTTGACAAATAAACAACACGTAAAATTGATTGATCTTGCTATATTTGATTAGCTTACAACAAAAATGCAATGTGTGCTGTGATCTTGACTTAAAAACGATTATGAATAAGCGTAAAAGAAAAATCATGCTGCTGCATGCTTGGACGAAAACGAACTAGGAAGAAGAAGACGGAAGTGGCGAACGAACAGATACGGAAGCGAACGAACGCAAACGAACGCAGAAACGAACGCTGATAAGCGAACGCTGAGGAGAAGGGGAACGCAGGTAGCGCTCCTTTCAGAAGGAGGGAGCGTAGCAAAGCGAGCGAAAATACAAAAATGAAAACGTGCATAGCGCGTACAAACCGCCGCCCTTGAAAGATTCGGCTTTCAACAAAATAATGTTATGTTTACGCAATTCAAACGTACAAAATAATAGCATAGATTAATGAAATGAGCTTAATTACTGTCAAAGGGAAGAACGCATAATCGTGTAATTTTTTATGTTTACGCAATTCAAACGTACAAAATAATAGCATAGATTAATGAAATGATACGAGCTTAGTTACTATCAAAGGGAAGAACTCATAATCGTGTAATGGGACGCTTATAAATGCCAGACGATGTGCGAATTGTGACTGTACGGACAATGTCGTCATTACCGGGATGTACTTCGACGATTCTAGCGAGAGGCCAAGAAAGAGGCGAAGCAGAATTCTCTCTTAGAAGGACCATCTGTCCGACATGTAATGGATTTTCCTTAGTTGTCCACTTATTTCGCTGCTGGCAATAATGCAGATATTCCTTTGACCATCTTTGCCAAAAGTGTTGACGTATTTGCTCCACCCGTTGCCAACGAGAGAGCCTAGTAATCGGGATCCTTTCCAATGATGGTTCAAGGTACGATGTCAATGATGCTCCGATTAAGAAGTGACCTGGAGTAAGTGGCGTAAGATCAGCTACGTCAGATGAAACGGGTGTGAGAGGACGCGAATTAAGAATCGTTTCAATTTGGATAACTAGTGTTTCTAGCTCCTCGTATCTTAGATGCGCCTCTCTAGTAACTCGATAGAGATGACGTTTGGCTCCCTTGACGGCAGCTTCCCATAGTCCACCATGATGGGGCGCTCTAGGGGGTATGAAGCGCCATCTGATTCCTTTAGAGGACACGTAGTTAATAATCTGTTGATGGCTTTCTTGATTTTTGAACAATGCGGCTAGCTCGTTTAATTCTCTTTGAGCTCCTTTGAAATTTAAGCCATTATCCGAATGAATGATAGTTTGGCATCCTCGTCTAGAAATAAAAGTTTGAACAATGCGGCTAGCTCGTTTAATTCTCTTTGAGCTCCTTTGAAATTTAAGCCATTATCCGAATGAATGACAGTTGGGCATCCTCGTCTAGAAATAAAACGCTTTAAAACATTAAGAAATGCTTGAGTGAATAAATCAGTTGCTAGTTCAATGTGAACAGCTGTTGAG